TGTGATGATTTTTTAAGAATCAGAATAAATAATTACTGTGGAATAACGTGATAGAAGATAAAGCTTACTACTGATCACTTTTTTTTCTTTTCTTTGGACTCTTCCCAAAGTAATTGGACCTCTGCCAAAGCAGCCTTTATAATGAGCTGCATCATTTGTATTGCTAAATAAAAATAGCTCTCTGCTGCCACCCTGTGGCTATTTGGATTTTGTAATTTTTGGTAAAAATGATTATTACTATGGAAGGATTACAGAAGACATTTTTGGCAATCCTTAATAGCTCTGAAAACATCCCAAGAGGAGATATTAATACAACAGGAGAACATCTTAATTGAACAAAGAGAACGTTTTGGCAAATTGGACAATTCTATTAGCGAGGCTTTGGGCACACAAATTAAACTTAAACAGAATATACGAAGAATGCAACAAGGAGATGGAAAATTTGAAACAGTGGATAAATACAATTAGTAAAGTCAATAAGTAATTGTATTTCTTTATCCACTGTATCATGGGACTTGCTTGTTATGTTGGAGAGGGAGAAGATAGCTAAGTATTCCAGAGAGATTATGTTTACGTGGCTATCAACAGAAGGAATACGGCCTACTGGGAATGTTACAAGATACAAACTGGATTTGATTTTTAAGGCACGAGAGCGGTATGAAAAACTCAGAGCTATTTTCGAAGAGGAAGAACAGATATTGAAAATGTAGACTGATTTACTACAGGCACTACAGCGATTCAAAACAAACAAAGAGAGATGGGGTAGAGGTGTAAAGAAGAAACAGAACTTTTTATCTTAAAAAGGAATGATTTAAATGGGTTGATATGTTTATAGGTGATATGGCAAGGCTAAGTTACATCGTTTGTCCTTAAGTTACTATGCTAGAAAATTATTGTTGTTGGTGTAGGAAAAGCTGTACTAAGACGATTTTTTCTTTTTTTCCGCTCGCTCGCTTTCTTTTCCTTCCTTCCTTCCTTCTTCTATTTTACCTATGGAAGCTTCTTTGTATTTAAATGCATTGAATTCTGAAGGGAATATAAGATATGATCTAAATTGAACTAAGAAATATAAGAATAGGGAGTTGGTCTTTTTTTGTTGTTGTTGGTGACATAAAGGGTAGATGCAAGTGAGATATGTTAAAGACTGTAAAGAGTTGGGCTCTTATAAGGAGTTAATTGTATTTGACTAAGTGATGCTTAAGTTAGATGAAACATTAGTAACGTAGTTTTAAAAAAAGCTTGTTTAAAATGTATTATAGGTAATAGTTGTCACCAAATAGATTAGCCAGGATCTTTCTAAAGATGTTAAATGGATGTTGGATATGTGAACATAAATTGGGTATTTATTGGGTATTTAGAGGAAGTGGTACAAAAATCTTTAGTTTCTTAAACTTGAAATTTCCTTTTTAGTAGATATTAGACTGGAATATTAGTAAATAAGAAATGTATCTGATTTTATTTTGTAACTGTTGTAGTGGGGAGTCTACCTGGCTAATACTAGAAAAATGAAAAAATCTTGAATTGTGTAGAAATGGCTAGATTAAATTTACCATTGAAGAAGAAAGAAGATTTTGACTTTTATCAAACTTGGGGATTCTTTCCTTTAATATTGGTTAGAGAAATGGGACTTTGCAAGAAATGGACAGACTCGTTTTACCACTGAAGGAGAAACAAGATACTGACTTCTATCAAACTGGGAACTTTTTTTTATTATTGGCTGGAGAAACGGGAATTGGCTTAGATCTAAAGATGTTTTCAAGTTATTATAAATGGAGTTGGATATGATCATAGAATGTTAAAAGATGTGCAATAGGGGACTGACCCAGTATGTCTGATGTATGTGATGATTGATGTTTTTAGTATTAGTTTAAAATTTTAATAAAAATTGTTAAAAAAAAGAAAAAAAAAGAAAGTCCCTTCCAAAGTGTTTAAAATCCAGACATGGGAGAGGGTGTTGTCGTTACTGCATGGTCCTTCATGAAACCTGCTTCATATCATATCTAGCCCATAATTTAGGATTTTAAGTTTTATTATTCCTGGAAACAAACTGGTAGCCCCTTGCCAATGAATCTGTTCTAGCACAGGCATCTTACTTCCACTCAAGTCCAAGCAGGAGCAGCATTGTGGAGAAGTGATGTTTCCAAACCCTCTTCAAAATGATACCCATCTAGAGCTAATGATATTCATTACAGCCCCAGAGACAGAAACACAATGACATGAAAGAAATCTTTTCCCCACCTTGTTCAGCCATTTGGGCCACACAATGGCATCCGGGTCAATTGTCACCCTGACCTCTGGGGATCCCTGACTTTCCAGCTTCCCAAATTTCACTCTAAGAATAGATTTGTTAGGAAATGCCACCCAATTCACAATGTCAAAGTCGGCTGCCAGGTCTCGGTTCTCATCCAAATAGACTCCCTCCATGGCAGTGTTGTAGAAGTGGTAATTTCGCAAGAAAGGATGAAGCTAGGAGGACAGGAATAACACCAGCATTGAGGAAACTGGATGGACAACTTTGTGGTTGTCATGACTAGGCTGAATCTCCTTTGGCTTGTGACTGGTTCTAGACTGGAGAAGTGGTGTGCATGGCAACATTTACTTTGTATGAATCTTTCCTGCCTTTGCTTCTCAAAAGCCATCAAGGCATTGTGCAAAACATGAAAACAATCTAGAAAGGAAAACTGCAGACCTATAAAGCTAATGTTAGAAGATACATCTTGAAACACTTTCAAAATAGCAAGGGTGTGAACCCAATAGTATATCCTGAAGGCGTGTGTTCCATAGCTTGGGGGCAACAGTGAAGAAAGTGCTCTCCAGATTAAGCATCAGATGGGTCTTTGAGAAGAATGCTGCCCTGGGGTGGATCTTTCCTAAGGATCTTGGTATCTGAGCACTTCACTGGAGACAGGTGGTCGCTTAGCCAGGTCCTGAACCTAAATTTTTAGCAAACCCTTTGAATTGGGCCTTGAAGACAATTGGCAACCATTGTACGTGCAAATGAGCATTTTTCAGCATAGCAGCTGTCATTTAAGGAACCATGGGGAAAAGTGCATCTCCAACATTTTTCATGAAAACATCAAGGAACATGGGGACAAGGTAGAAGCCTTTGGGACTCCACAGAGAACCTTCCTTGATTGTATAAAAATTAAAACAAAATCAATATTGATAGATTTTGAGTAATGTATTTCCTCAACTCAGTTTCTTCTGTGGAATACATGAATTGAATTTGGAAGATGGGCAGGGGAACAGAATGGCCTGTGAGACCAGCATCTCTATGCTTTTTGGGTTTTGACAGGCTGGGAAATTCTGTCAGAAATTATGGGGAAGACATTCTGAGAAGTCTGTGCAAAAACAGATATTTTTGCCTCTCCAGCAAATGATGGAAAGTCCTGATCAAAGTCACAATACTTCTATGCCACAGCTATAATTCAGTACCAAGCTGTAGAATCCAGAAAAAGATACCCCATTGTGAAAGACATATAATGGAATAGTATAAAGCTTGTATTCCTTTTCCTTCAAAGAAAATGGAAGAAGCTTCCTAGAAGTGTTGGGCTAAATGTCCCACATAGAGATGTTGATTAAGTGGCAGTGCACTGGTGTTGTGGGGCGATTTTACAGACGAGACCAGAGACTGGTTGGAATTACCGAGAGATTTATTTACCTGCCGGCAGAGACCATGCACTCGTGAGAGTGTGGTGCTGAGCAGATCGAAGGCAGGATTTTTATACTCTTTTACACGGACGGCTATGCAGGTGCTTGAATAACAGCGAACAATAGGGGAGATCCACTGAGCTACATTTGCACACATTTTTTATGCTAAAGCAAGCAAGCGAGTGTACAGGGCGTGACGTTATGCTGGAGTGTAGCAACAAAGGCTGCTTTGTGGTCAGCCTTGAGTAGCGTGCACATTCGTTGGGGTTCTTGTTCTTACGCGAACAGGACACTCTGTTCATGCTTCTTACCAGTGACGAGCCATGCCCTAGCTGCATGTTCGATTAAGAGGGGGGTTACAACAACTGGTAGAGTATGTGGGAATTAGGCAGGAAAAATTGTGTAGGGATTTGTGTCTGGCATTCCAAAAGAAAGATTATGGACAAAAACAGAAAGCAAAAATTGGAAAATCACAAGCAGATTTGACTTCTGAGAATTTCATTTCATTATATTTCAGCTTCAAGGCATTTGCTCCAGCATTGCATAAGCAAATACCTGCCATGGCTGCAGTCTTGAACCATCCAACCCATCTGCACCTGCCATCTCTTGGATGTGGATGAATAAACAACATCTATTTTATTTTCCTGAGCTCCAAGATCACCACAGACAGGGACTACTACCAAGAAATTAAAAGACACTTGCTCCTTGGGCAGAAAGCTATGGCAAATCCAGACAGCATACTAAAAAGCAGAGAAATTACCCTGCCAACAAAAGTGCATATAGTCAAGGCTATGGTTGCAATGTATGGCTGTGAAAGCTGGACCATAAGGAAGACTGAGTGCTGAAGGTCTGAGACCTTTGAATTGTGGTGCTGGAGGAGACTCCTGCAAGTCCCTTGAACTGCAGAGAGATCAAACTAGTCAGTCCTAGAGGAGATCAACCCTGACTGCTCTTTAGAAGGCCAGATCCTGAAGATGAAACTCACTTTGGCCACCTAATGAGAAGGAAGGACTCCCTGGAGAAGAGCCTAATGCTGGGAACAATAGATGGCAAAAGAAGAAGGGGACGGCCGAGGATGAGGTGGCTGGAGTCACTGAAGCAGTTGGTGTGAGCTTAAGTGGACTCTCGGGGATGGTGGAGGACAGGAAAGCCTGGAGGAATGTTGTCCATGGGGTCGCAATGGGTCGGACATGACTTCGCAACTGACAACAACAACATGGCATGGGCCATGGCCCACACGATGTTGTAAATGATGTGGTCTCTAGAGAAAGGATTCTGGCAATGTCCTCTTGGTCCAGGTGCTGCAGGGACTTATTCTCCTTGCATCTTCTCCAGCCTTTTGTGGACAATGCAGACAAGGTATGGTTTGAATAGAAACAGTTGAATGATTTTCCCCAATAACGTTCGCTTAGTCTGCATAGTCTTTCGAATATCATCATATTGGGTCTCCTTGTTTGTCGGAATGAAGGAAAACAATCCATGGAGGTGTTTGACAGAAAACACATTATGCCTCACCTCCACAGCAAGGTCCCACAAAGCTGTTGTGATCCAGACCTTCCCCACCATGGGTTTTAAAAACAGTTCAAGAGTGATCTCTGCAGGAAGAATATTCCCTGTATGAAGAGATTAGTCTTTGCATAGAAAAGAAGTACATTGACTTGTTTCCACTTCTTAAATGAGCCATAATTGAATTTCAAGAAGTTTTCTTTCCATCTGGAGATGGTCTTTGAGAAGACAACACAGACCCCATTGTTGATGAGGACAGGTGTGAGCATCTTCATGAATCCCTCTCCAATGTCAGTGTCTGGGACGATAAGTCCAACCGAGGTCCATTTGAAGTGCAGGAGCAGCTTGACAATCCCCAAATGGAGCCGTCCTTCCTTGGGCACCATCCGGTAGAAAAAGGGGAACTGAGTTCGATCACTCAGGTCCTGAGAAACAAAGGCATATGTGACCTGGGGAAGAAAGAAAGAGACTGGCTTATTCTGTACCACATCAAACCTCAAATGTTGTCATCTCAAACATTGCCAGTAATGACTTGGAAGATGTTGGAAACTGTTACTGCACTCAGCCAGTCAACAGCTGGGGCAAACCCGCGTGGGCGCCAGACCCAAGCCAAACAGAGCCTGAGACGAGACTTAGAGCCAAAATCAGCTTTATTGTAGTGCACTATAGAATAAAGGGAGACGAAAGGGGACATTCAGCCCAAAGCAGTGTCTCAAAAATTGCTCCCCAGTACATGCGTTTTATACCCTAGGTAACCAGTTAGGTCACCTAATACACATCTAATACATCGATACATCAATGTATCTACCCCCTCCCGTGCTGGAGAAAGAGTCCTTTCTTCTGTCAAGGACCAAACATTTCCCATGTCTATTTATCTGCTCGAGATTCACACAGGCTTGCCATGTTCTTACTCCCTGCACGTTTGCAACTTTCATGGCGGCTCTAGCCAGTTTCCACTGTCCCTTTGGTTACTGTATTCGAGGTCAGGCTAGCATGTTAGCTGTGGGTTATATAAAGTTCATTTTGTTCTTATCCCCCCTCCCTTCTGGGACAGTATAACTGTGGTGTTTTTACTATGTGGCCTTCCTCTGGCCAACTTCTTTTGGGGCCTTTCTCTGGCCAATTACGCTTGGAAGATGTTGGTCATGATATTGTAACTTCTTTCCTTTATTACACGGAATATTACAAGATCCTCTGCTCAAGACAGAGTTTTCCTGCTCACCCTTGCACTCCTGCTCACCCATGCATTGCACTCCCTCTCATTACGCTCAGCTGGTAATCTTCAGTGCAGAAGGTTTGTGGCTGCATAACTGAGCCATTCTTCATTGA